GAGCCACCCCTGGCTGTGACTGGTCCCGATTTCAGCTTTGTGGTGGCTGACTGGGCCCCCAGAGCCCCAGGGCTGAAAGTGGGCCCTTCCTTTCTCCCAGGTACCTGGTCCCCTGCAGCCACATGATGCTGAGCCAGCGGCGGGCTGTGAAGGAGAGAGACTGGTACTCTGTTTCTGCGGCCAAGCTGCTCGCCCTGACCCCTGTCTGCTGCTCCAGCCGGATCACCCTGACGCTTGGGAACCAAGAGAGGGATTATATTCTCTGGTCAAAGTGTGTGCACAACAGTTCAGGTAGGAGGAGCTCTCTAGTGATCATCTTTGAAAGAAAGGATACCAAAGTCCCCTTGGGATGTGTGTCTCTTTGGGTAGACAGGGAACAATGTAGTGAGTCCCATTTCTTTATGAGTGACTGGTTGGGGGGTCCTTTTCCTCTTTGTAATGAGTTATGGACACTTTGTAATGTGCTGTTTGAAGTTTCCAATGACCTAGTTTATGTTCCCAGACCTTTATTTGAACTAGACTTTTCTAGTAGCATCCTTAAGGTCCAAATATGAAAACATGCGCCAGCATGTCTTTTCAGACAAATGGGGGTGGGGGTGTGGAAATGGCTATAGCTCAGATGGAATTAGCCCTTATTTAAATTTCCAAAATGACCCATTTGTGGATTCTTGCCTGCCAATAATATGTCATTAAAAAACTTGAAATTTGTGATATGGCATCAGTGATACGGCATCAGTATCCGATTCATTTGATTGATGTAGTGAGGGATTTTTCATAAATGCTGTTTTTACAGTAATTACCAGTACTCATGTACTGTTTGTCAGTAGAACTTGTATAAATAAAACTTAAATGGCCACCTGTGTCAACCATGGCCCTCTGGCAGGCAGCTGAAACCTCATTTGTGTCTCTTTGGGTGGTCAGAGGCTGTTTTATTTCAGTCCTGAGGTTGACTCGGGTGTTTGCAACGCAGATGCTGATATCCCCATAAGCAAGGTCACTCTGTCCACCCAGGTATAGTTCTCTTAAATTAAAAAAAATATATATATACATATATATTCATCTTAGACAAAATACATATTTCATTTAAGATCTGAGCTACTTGACTAAGAAAATATCAGCATATTTGGTATAAATTTAATTTTTAGAAATTAAGGTTGCCTTAGTGATTTTTGGTCTTTAAATAGAGTGTATCATGGAAATTAATAGTTTATGTGGAAGTATAACAAGCTGTATTTTAAATGTATTTTCCTGTTAGACAAACTAGTATAGATATCTTATGTTTTCTACCCAATAGTTATTTTTTAAAACATATTTGAAAATTGGTATGTTTTTATTTACTAAAAAAGTTGTTTCAAGAATGAATTTGTGGCTGACCTTAATGCAGAACTCAAAATGCAAGTCAAACATGCAATTATTGAGTACCTGCAACTTGCCACATTCTCTCCCTGTGTTACCACATTTAGTCCTTTGAAGAAAGTAGTATTCCTATTTTATAGACGAAGAAACAAACTCAGAGAGTAGATTCTCAGATTCCAAATTCCGTGTTCTTTCTACTGCCCTGCTTCTGGGGCTGCCTTACAGCAGATAAGTGCCCTCGTTGATGGATGGTAATGTAGGTAGGTAAGTAGATAGGTAAGTGGATAGATGGATAATGTGATACTGTGCAGTGGTTAAGAACTAGGATTCTGAACCTCAGCTTTGGTACTTTCTTGGGAAGATTACTTAAACTTTCTAAACTTTTTCCTCATCTGTAAAATAGTGTCTGCCTCAAAGGGTCATTGCAAGGATAAGTGAATTAGGACATGTAAAAGCTCTTAAAAGGCTACCTGGCATGTAGTAAATGCTAAATTAATATTGCTTGTACTCATGTTAGATGTCTTTTAATGTAAAGTGGATAAGAGACAAACACCCTTTTATAGCAGAGCTGTAAAAAAATGAATTCTGTCTACCCCCAGTGACATGAAAATGTGTATTCTCAAAGGTTCAATTCTAGCCCAGTCTGGTAGAGATTTAGATAGTGAGGAGATGAGAAGCTTGAAAGGGTGAGCAGTGAACGAAATCAGAACCAGAGGTTGATACGAGACAGCCTGTACTTGCGCAGTGGCTCTGCCACTGAGTAACGGGTGATGTCTTGTCTCTGAGCCTCAGCCTCTTCACCTGTAACTGGAGAAAATGATACCCCCCATTTAGGTTGTGAGGATTAAATTAGAGAGCATTGATAAAGTACCTGCCACGTAGTGGATGTTTAAGGGATGGTACAGTGTGTCTTTATCCTTGTTGGAGACCTTCTTTCTTTTCTGAAGGAAAATGAAAACCTTAAGGGCAGATGTTTTCACAGCTGTTCCAGTTACGCAGTTGAGAATTTTTAACATCAAAGGCATTCTTAGGTTAAAAGAACTATTTTGGTATAAAATGTCACTTCATCCTAAGAGACCCTTTGGGACATATCAATACCCCAATAGTTCTTAGGAAGGCAGAATGAGTTTACAGGCTTTTCTAACACCCAGGGTGTCCTAGAGAAAATCTATTTCCCAAATTCATAGATTATAGGGGTTCCACTTTAGAGTCAAGGTAAAACTAATTATTACCTACCCTGTGGCAGGTAATATATAATATTCACTATATTGCCTAATTTAATCCTCCCAATAACCTGAGAGGTTGCCATTATTAGCTTTTATTTCTCTGGTGACTGATACCAAATAACAGTTTTCAATTGCTATAGCCAGTGTCTGACTGGCCACATTGGTTCTCTATCTTCTGTGAGGGTACGGTTTCTATTGTTATCTTTCCTTCTCAAAATTAACCGTTTTTTACTATTCAGAAATCATTTAATCCGGAACTCTTAGAACCAGAGTAGCTGGTGGACAAAGCCTTAGCAGACCGCGTGAGTTGCCTGCTGGTCCCCCACCCTTGTCCCCACACCTCCCTTCAGGGTGAGAAGGGCTGGTGCTGACCTGTGCCCTGTCCCACCGCAGGGCCCGCGGCGCAGCCGCTCCCCGAGGGGGCCTCTGCGCCGGCCCGCGGGGAGGACGCCAGCGCCCTGGACGTGAGCTACCTGCAGTACCTGTGGGAGGCGCACGCCAACATCCTTGGCTGCGTGAGGGACTGCCGCGCCTGGTCCGCCCGCTATGACGGAGACTCCCCGGACCCCGACGCGTGGCTCCGCAGCCTGAGCGGCGAAAGCGCCAACAGCGCCGCCGACCCTGTGTTCGGGCTCCCGCAGCAGCTGCCCCGGAAGCCAGGGCCTCCGCCGGCCCCAGGGAAGAAGAGCCAGGCGGAGCTCGAGTGGGATGACAGCTATGACGCTGGCATCTCCTCGGGGGCAGGTGCGGGCGAGCCACGCGATGATGCGGACAGCTCAGGCCTGCCCGCACCCATCGATCCCCCCAGACACATCCAGGAGATGAAGAAGAACGCCATCCTGCTCTTCAAAGGGTCCTACATCGAAGAGTCTGACTTCCAGGATGACGTCATGGTGTACAGGCTGTGTGCTGAGAAGGACTCTGACGACACCAGGAGTTCCCGGGAGGACCCTGTAAGGCCCCTGACCCAAACCCAGACTGAGGTTCAGAGCCCCCCACCGAACAATGGCCCCCTGCTCGGCCCGCAGCCAGAAACAGATTCAGAGGGCGAACATAGTAGGGACAGCTCGGACCTGTTTGAGAACACCCGCAAGGGACCGAAACAAGAGAGTGAGGCTGACGTAGCCCCGGGCTCAAACCCAGAGTCAGCAGCCCCCACCGCCGAGGCAGAGCGCAGGTCAGGCCCGACGGTGGTTAACCCAGGGGCTGAAGATTTCGTTGCCCAGTATGACGAGATCATTAAAGAGCTGGATTCTGGCCCCGAGGGCTTGCTAGGCTGCAACTGCTCCCCACCTGATACCTTACTTTTCACAAAAGAGCCCGTGGGGAAGGAAGAAGAGAGCCGAGGAGACAAGGAGGATGAGGAGGAGGGGGAGAAGGGACCAGACGACGAGGACGAGGAGGATGACTTTGATGCTTTCATCACGGAAACCCCTGCCGAAGAGACAGCGCCATCCCCGTTTGGGGTGAGAGCTGAGACTGCATTTGCCGGTCACGTACCCGGGAGGACTCAGAGCACCCCGTTCACAGGTGACAATCTTCAATTGCATTCTGATTTCTGTTTTTGAAAGTACTTGTCCATTTTATAACAGGAAAGTAGGGTAGGTGGAGGCAAGGAGCATTATCATAAGAGCACTGACAGGGATTTCACTTTATTTTATATTACTTTGTCATTCTTGACATGACTGTCATTTCTGTTTTCCCAGCAAATTAGAAGTTAACTTTTACTGTTGACTAACTTTGAGATGTCTGTGATAAAGTTAGGACGGATAAAACCACACAGGAAATCCAGTTCATTATTTAATAGCCTCACTTCCTTTAACCTAATTAATTTTCTCCTTAGCATGTGTTTTTATGTGTGCTGAAAAAGAATATGGCTCCCCCACTGGTTGGTTGGTTCTCTGCTCTGTTCCCAGCTTCTGAACAGTGAACAGGGCACACAGTAGGTGGTCAGAGAACTTGTTGATTGTGTAGCTGTGAATGTACAGCAGAGGCCATTGGGGCTAGTTACACCTCTACTTGGGGGCTCATTTCAGAGAACCACAAAATCTTTACCCCAAAATACATAGAGCAGACCCACATCCCTGTAACTCTGCTGAAGAATGGGTGTGTGTAGAAATCAGGTAAGAGGCCAAGGAGTAGCACCGGATATCAGATAAATGTATTGGGGTGTGGAATTACAGACATTTGTAGAAATCTATAGAGAGTAAGAGAAAACGTTATTGAATATTAGCTTTTAAATAAAATCTGAATCTGTTAATCATGGTACTGAGAGAACTGGCAAGAGGGTTGGTTCATCAAGCTCAGGGAGGGCTGGGGTGAGACCCTCGGATGACATTCAGGTAGCAAGAGGTCCCTGAAGGAGCTGGCAGCACAGAGGGACAGACAGTGACCTTGAGGTCAGGCCTGTGGGGGAATCCTGGCCCTCGTGCTTCCTGCCATGTGGCCTTGGGGTCCTAGACCCTCTGTCTGCTGCTGGGAAGGCTGAATGGTACTCTGTAGGGTCATTACCCCTGTTACTGCAGGCAACCCCCAGCAGCCTCTGCTGAGGCGCATCCTTCCCCAGCCAGGAGCGAGTGGCTTCGTGAGGGGAGACCATGCTCCCCCCAGCTTGGGTCACCCGAAATAGGTGAAATCACACTGCCTTCTGCTCCAGCCAGGTAGGCTTACTATGATTTCAGGGAGCTCTTCCACCCTCCTCCAATACTTATTCATCTATTTACCAGTGCCTGAAAGTTTATTTAAAGAGAGAGGAAGCTTTTAAGTCCACAATTAGAAGGCTTCAGCTTCTATTTGAGATAACATTTCATTGTCACTGGGTTTTCATTAAAATTCAATCAGTCAATAATCATAAGTAAAAAGGATTAGATAGTGTAGATTTTTTGCACAATTTTTGCAGTTGATATAGGGAGGGGAAGACAGGAACAGGAGGACGCTGGCAGACAGCAGGAGGGGCCCGGAGCTCCAGCAAACAAACAGGCAGAAGTAACCTAGCCATGCCCCAACTTTGCCTGAGGCCTGCCCCATTTACTGGGACACAGCAGGGAAGCCTAGCTTCGGTGCTTCCAGGACAGGGCCACCCATGACTACCAAGAGAAAGACTGCTCTCTAGAATGCCAACTTTCTTATAAAGGGGCTTCATCCCTGGGAAATGTGTTAATTGAGGAAACAAAATATAGCTAGGGCAAAGAAAATAAAAGTTAATATAATACCTGTTAAATAACATCAGTGTTTTGCATAAGATACACCTGAGAACTAACAAAACGTGAGTTTTTTTATACATATAGGTAATTTTAACTAAAACCTTGCCTGTCTCCTCCTTCGAAACTTGTACACAGCTTCAGGAAGCATCTTTCTCTTACCACATATGTAAAACTTTGTAGTTGCCAGGCTTCTGAGTATGTTCTGTAGCATTAGGTCTAGCTTCCATCTCTCTGGAATCTGGATTTCCACTGAAACGGATTTGCTTCCCAGCAAAATCAAAACATTCCATTTCATTTATCTGATTAGTATTATTTGTGCATTCAACAATTTTCTACTGATCCCCTAATTTGGCAGGTTCTGTGCTAAGGTACTAAGGACACAAAAATGAAGTACTTTGCAGACTTTCATGGGAGCCATCAGCAGAGAACTCTGCTGGCCCGTGAGACGTGCATCATTGGGCATGTTTGCCAAGGCCTGGGGGAGCCCAGGAGAGGGAGCGGGACAGGCTTCCCTGAGGATGGGCACAGTGAGCAGGAGCTACCGGAGGAAAGTAGCTGAGAACGACAGTCCAGGCAGAGGACCCGACAGGCAGAAGGCAAAGGAGCCTGACAGCACATGGGTATGACAGCATGGGTGATGGGGGCAGAGAACACGTGAGTGGGATGGGAACCGGAAAGCTTGGTTGGTGCTGGTTTCAGGGGGTCTCTGAGCCAAGCTGAGGAATGGGGACCTTGTGCTCTGTGCCTGAAGAAGCCCTAGAAGTGTCGGAGTTGGTGAGGGACGTGACTCGATCTGTTTGAACCGGCTGGCCTTGGAGTAGTGTGGAGAGTGCTATCGCCCACTGGAGTGGGGAGAGGCTGGGGCCGGGAAGGCCAAGAAAACTGTGTCATATTAAGAATTCAGAACGCATCAGTGCTGTGATCTGGTAGTTGTGTTTCTAGGAGTGTTTTCCAAGCTGTAGTCATGTTTATGTGCCAAGATGTGTATACAGAGATGTTCACTGCAGTGTCGTTTATATGTCCACCAGTAGGAGACTCTTTTCCTAGTGCAGTATCCATGGCAGCCCAGTATCCCATGGCCTTGCAGTGAGAGAGCCAGCTCTGTATGTGCGGATATGGGACAGTCTCTAGGGTATAGTGAGCTGAAAAGCAAGGTGCAGACCAGTGTGTGGAGAATGTTGTCATTTGGTTAAAGAAAAAACAAAACCTAGGAGGCAAACAGATACACATACACACCCCTGGAGATAGTGTGTTGGTGAAGAGTACTGACACTGGAGACAGATGGACTGAACGAAAATTGTAACTCTTTTCATTTACTAGCAGTGTGCACTTCACATTTTGCCCTGATGTGGATAAATAGTGGGAATAAAGAGTAAACATACTTCATGCAGTTGTGAATATTTAAGTAAGTTGGTACATGAAAAGAACTTAGAACACTTCCTGGCATATAGTGATGAATAAATGTTCCTTAATAATAATTCAGTTATTATTGATTTTGTTATATATATAAAACATTCCTGGAATCTGCTCACTAGAATCTGCTAATGGGTTGCCTTCAGGGAGGAAGTCTGTTCTCTATTGTATACTTCTGTACTATTAAAGGAAAAAACAAAACATTTAAATAATTTGACTCTCTCTGAAAACAGAAAGTGGTAACTGGAGTGCAGACCAGAAACAGTGGGATGGGCACAGGCTGTGCGGGCCAGGAGTGGAGGTGGGAGGGGAGACCAAGGCAGGGAAAGAGGATGCGCAGGGCAGAGCCAGGAATGACAGGGAGGGGCAGCAGAGACTGCCTAGTCCTTCTGAAAATTTACCTATATTATGGGGGGGAGGGCCTATCTGTCCTAGGAGAAGAGGGGAAGAAAAAACATACCCCCAGCCCCTACAGACCTGTGGCTTTCTGAACTGTAGCTGCGATTTTTGGGTTCCAGCTGTGTACCAGTTTCCCTAGCAACTGGTTTTTGCTAAGCAGTTTTTTCCTAAGTGCTAGAAATCAGCTAAGAATAAAACAGGAATTTGAAAGGGTTTAATAAATGTTTCTTACTGCATATGCCTAACAAGTTGTAATTAATGTCCTTAGTGGATTATGCTGACAGATCGCCAGCCTTAACCTAATACTCTGCCATTCAGGGGAGGGGGTGATGACACTCTCCACGGGAAACGAGACCCAAGCTGGTTTTTGCTTTTGGTTTTTCCCCCCTTCTGTTGGTGACAGACTGTAGCTGCGTCCCCCACACCCCCATCTGGCACAGTCAGCAGCTGTCACGTGGGTAGAGTGGCTGCATAAGGCGAGGTACAGTTTGAGGCCATGGGAGGGAAGTTGTGGGCTCACACTGAGGATGTACGTTTTATAGGAGGCTGTCCCCACTTAAACGTGACTTAATTCAGCTGTCTTTGCTTCCTCTGGAAGAATGAGATGCTGAGCCTGGGACTGTGGGTGAGTAGGCGAAGGGCTAGGGAAAGACTCAGTCTCCAGAGGTGAGGAGGGCAAGCAGCAGCCTTCTCGAAGTTCTGCCTGGAAGGGTGGAATTGTGTTGTAATGCCCTAAGAAGAGTTACTGGTCACATTTCTGGAACTAGATGGAATCCATCAGGTTGCTGTCCAAGTGGGGTTCCAGTCCAGAGTTTCTAATGTGGTGGCAAACTGCCAGTTTTGTTCTGTAATCCAGCAAAATGCAGTTCTGTTTTGTACGGGCTTCTCCAAGGTCTGTTTACTTGATGACTTCATTGACCTCCTGTGTCACAGAATGTGACTGAGGAGCTGGGCCCCATCCCAAGGATGGGAAGCTGGGGCTGATCTCAACACATGAGGGGCCTTAGAGACCTCCTGTGTCTTCCTAGCAACACGAATATTGCCATTATCCTGTTACTTGCCTGCATGGAGAAAGGGCTCCAGTTTGGTGCTCCCGTTTCTCACGGATAGCTTGTTTCCTTACAAAGAACTGTTACCCTTTTGCACTACCAGGGCTTCTGACTGAAGCTTCTTGTGATGAAGTACGTTTCTGTTAAACTCATTTTAATGTCAGTGAAGTCTTCATAAGGCACGCTTATTCATCAAGGGTTATATGCTTTTGTTATAAATATGCCACAGTTTAGTGGCATCATCAATAGCCCCACTGGGGGAAAAACAAAATTCTCATTCATTTTGTTTAATGGACCACTTTTATGGTAAAAATGGAAAACATCTTCAAGTAGTTTTATTAATGCCAGATTTATTTTCTTGATTTTCCCTGTCTTTGATGAACTCAGACATGAAGCATATTAATTTCCTAGGGATTCAAATTAGTCAGAGCTCCTTTTTGCCTAATTTTTTAAATGAACTACTTTTGTAGTCATGGATTCTCTTTCGTAAGGAACCTATGACATGCCAAACCTATGACATCTCCTCAACTTGAGTCCCCTCCACCTCCCCTGAAAGTTAAAGTGTGCTTCTAAGTTGCCCAGGGCCACTAGAGTTACAGCCCAGGCCCCAGTCACCCCATCTTTCTCTTCCTCTGGTTCTTCCACATTGTGGCATTGGACAAGAATGAATCTCTCTCCTGGCCCTTGTTGGGGATAGACAGTCCCTGTTTACAGTGTTGTTTTGGTAAACAGTTTGTATGTGTTTGGTATAACAAAAAGGTTTTTTGTTACTAAAACTTTTCATGGCTTCTAATGTTGGCATCATTGCATCATGAGATGACGGATGTCACGGTTTTGAGATTTGGCAGCTCCGAGAAATACAGAATCAGTATAGAAAGGTGCATTTTGATTTTTAAAATTAAATTTGTCATCTGATATTTTTCAAGGTATATGATAATTTTCCAAGTATCAAAATTGTTCATAGAGTCAGATATTAGCTCCCATGCGTATTTTTCTGTTTCCTTTCTGTGGGGGTAATTTGTTCTATGTTCTGGTTTGAGACAGGAGGAGACCTGGCTCTATCTGCTGTGTCTGTGTTCAGTCTGCACCCAGTGGGCCTGAGGTTTGGGAGCTGTGGCTCTTTGTTGTCGAGGAAAGCTGTCCCCTGTGTCCAACCCGCCCTGAGGCCTTGTGTTCTCTCCCTGCAGGTCCATTTGTCAGTGTGGTCCTGTCGAAGCTGGAGAACATGCTGGAGAATTCTTTGCATGTGAATTTGCTGCTTATTGGGATCATTACCCAGCTAGCCAGCTACCCCCAGCCTCTCCTGCGCTCCTTTCTGCTCAACACCAACATGGTCTTCCAGCCGAGCGTCCGCTCTCTCTATCAGGTATGTCAGCTGAGACCACATCTGTGCTTGTTGATTTCATGGGTGCTAATGAGCATGGTCCTTCTCTCCTTTCCCTTGATATTTTTTTTTTTTTTCAAAATCCCTTTGTTCTAATTTATTTGCTCTCTTTCCCTGTCCTATTACGCTGGTTGTGTATTCTAGACAAACTGCATAGCTTCATTTAGTCAGATGTTGCAGGGGTGCCCTACCAAGACCCCCTGGGCAATTAAAAATGAGCAAATGCCTATTATCCTCAAAGTTCCTGCAATGAGGGTATACCTGCAAGATACACTGGTAACTGACGGTGGGATTCGGCTGTGAAGATTCTGCATCCTTAATCTTGTTTTTGGTAGGTCCTTGCATCTGTGAAAAACAAGATCGAACAGTTTGCTTCTGTGGAGCGAGACTTCCCAGGCCTCCTCATACAGGCCCAGCAATACCTGCTCTTCCGAGTGGACATGTCTGACCTGACTCCTGAATCCCTAACCAAAGGTTAGCCAGCTTTCTCCCCTGCGCCTTCAACCCCTCCTCCACTGCCCCAGTCTCCTGATTTAGGGTCACTGATGCTCCACCAGCTCCTGGGCCTTAAAGCATCTAAATATATTTTGGGAGGAGCCTTACCATAGCATTAGTAAACCTAATGAGAGGTTGGCCCAGTTCCCTGTGCTGGCCTGTAGCCCGTTGGGAGGGTGTAGCAGGGCATAGAGACTGGTTGAGGAAGGCGTGACATGGACTTTGTCACCAGGCCAGAATAAATAACTCGCACATACAGGGCAGAAAGAGGCACTGTGTGCACGCCCAGAGCCGCTTCTGGCCAGCCCTACCCTGAGGAGGGCACCCATCTCTTCTCTTTATTAGGTTTCAGAGACTCTCCGGCCCTAAATAAATGTGCTTTAGGGCTCTAGAAGGTAGAAACTGTTCCTTTGGGCCAGGAGAAGTGGTGCTTATGCTTGGCTTCACACTGCTGAGAGAGCCTTTCGTCACTCTAGAGGTGTTAATGGTAGGGGGCGAGCTGGGCAGGGCGGTGAGAACGGGCCTGCTGGCGGGCCGGCCTGTGGGGCGCCACTGCTTCGCCTCATCTGAGCTCAGGTTGGATGGGTTGGGCGGCCAGTTGTCTTCCATGCTGTGACGTGGGCCGTGGTGAGGGCCAAGCAGGAGGTGCCCAGTACTGCCCTGGCTGCTGCTTCCCTCCACACAGACAAGGCAGGCGCCTCAGGACAGGTGAACAGTGGAGGGCAGGCGCTCAGTCCTGGGCTAAGGGCATGTGATCAGAAACGAGGCTGGGAGTGAGAGGCAGCAGTGTAACCCAGGGCGATCGTTAGGCCTTATGCAGGAAGCCGGGAGGACCCTGGAACTCCGAAGGCCTGACCTTGCCTCTGTGCAGGTCTTTGACCTGGTCACTGCCTTGCTGGCCTCCGTCCTTCACTCTCAAGTGAAGGGTTTATTCTCCATCTCTAAAGTCCTTTCTGGCTGTAGGACTCTGACATGAGGGCCCTTAGGCTTCTACGAGGCAGAGTTTGAAAGAAACGGAGGCCTGTGCCCTGGTGAAATGAGGGGGCAGGCTTTAGGCTTTGGCCCTGGAGAGCGGGGAAGACCACTCAGAGGGAAAGGAGCCTGCATCTCTGCGGGAAGGTGGGCTGCAGGCCCCTCACGGCCTTTCCTGCTGCATGGACAGTCTCTGCTGTGTTCCCCCTGCCGCTGTAAGTCACCCTGTGAGAGGAAGTGTGTCAGTCAGCTTTTGTACATAACAAGCCACTGCAAAAACAGTGGCTTAAAACAAGCCACTTATGAGTGCTCAGAGTCTGCGTGGTGACCTGGGGTGATGTGTGGTGGTGGGGGTCTATGTGTCTCACCAACCAGCAGGTTAGCCCTGGCTTCTCAACATCATGGCTGTAGGGTTGCAGGAGTGACAGCAGGAGGGTACAAACTCTTTTAGGGTGTGTCTCAGGACTCACACAAGGCCAGTCCTGCATTCTGTTGGCCAGAGCAAGTCATGGGCTCAGCCCAGGTTCCGGAAAGGAGCAAAACCTCCCCGTTGATGGGAAGAGCTGCAAAGGATTGTGGCCATTTTTGCAATCTACTCAACAGAAGGTGGATTGGATTGAGTCCCTTGATAGTACCTTCCAGGCTTGGTCTTTGTATTTTACAATTTGTAAAGTGCTTTCCCAGGCAGTCAGTTTTTATTTTCAAACAGGACTGTGAAATGGGCAAGAAGGTACCGCTGGCTTCATTTTCATATAAGGAACTGAAATTCGAGGCCTGGGGTGGAGCCAGGATCCTGGAGCTCAGGTGCCTGAGGCTGCCCGCCAGGTTCATGGAGCCACGGGGCACACACTTACCGGCTTCCTTGGCTTTCCTTGACAACAGGACATTGAACCTTGACACAGATGTTCCGGGCGGGGGATGATGGGGTGGGGAGTGGCAGGGGGCCCTCATCTGTGTGCATCGTCCTGGCTTCAGGCCACCTGATGTCCCTGGCTGCCAGGTACATGTCAGGGGAGTTGGTCCTGCTGAACACAGCTGTCGAGTTGGTCAGCTGTGGGTGATGCTTTCTAAGGCTTGTGACACTGAGGGGATTTTGACTGGTAGGAAGCTTCTCTTGGCATAGAAGAAATCCTTTTAATGAAATTTTTCAGATTAACTTTCTAACTTCTTTTAGGCTAGCAAATTGAGACCCTCCTCTCAACTTTAAATCTCTAAACTCACAGAATGAGAAAGGTGTCTATCCTCTTCTACTAAGCTGACAACTGAAGCACTGAGTGTGATGTGATTGTCCATAAATGAGCTGAATCTGGTAGCTTAATTGAGAGTTTTGGGAAGAGGCCAGATATTGGGGTTTGTCTGTGTACTGTGCACTTTGTGTAACACTGCTGATGGGGAGAGGAGTAACGGATTTCTCTCCTAACTTCTGAAGTCTTCTGCTGTTAGTCTTGAAAACTCTCTATTGTAGCTTTTCAGACTCAACTCAGAGCAACATTTCAGAAACCATGGGTGACCCTGACATTTCCTTATACTTCCTCCCTCCCTACCTTTTTCTTCAGGTGCTCGCGTGGGCTCGCAGAGCCCTTAATAATGGCATAACTCCGGCACCTACAGCCAGGGCCACTCCATCAGGCAGGCCCTGGTAAAGAACAAGCCTCCACACTAGTGCTTCAAAAGGAGCTCCAGTCCATGTGACCGCCACTCCAGGCTGGGGGCGCTTCCCTGTGCCAGCTGTCACACTGTTATTCTTGAGACTCTTAGTCTCTGGGCTCAGCCATTTGCCAGGCTTTTCATTTTCCCCTCAAATACTTCCTGAACCACAAAGGTTGTATATGCTTGTGTTTACTCATGTCTGAGTCCTTTCACTCTGATCTCTAGTTCTGGGAGGTCAGGTAGGTATTATCCCATTTTACAGAAAAAGAAGCAGACATTATATGATAAATTGTTGCCACGCAGGGGCCACGACTCGGTTCTCCTCGGCTTTGAGTTGAGAGTCGGCGGTGCTTGTGACCCACTGAAGGGCCAGTGCCATGCCGAGGGGACAGAGCTGCTGCAGGATGTCCCTGCGGGTCCCCGGGTCCCCTGCCCCCCAGGTGCACTCTGGCTTTCAGTAGTGAAGACAGTTTTGCTTCTTGGATTCCAGCAGGGTAAATGAGCCTTAGCAATGTTAACACTTAGAATTCATCGATCAAGTTGGATAAATGAGCCATCAAAACCCTTTTTGGGTAGAAGAAGAGTGAATTTGGAAGAGAAAGATAGAGATGAGGAATATATGAACCAGCTCCAGGGGGACCAGGTGTAGGGAGACCTGATGGTGGTTAGTTTCTTCCCTCATTCATCCAGCAAAGGTTTATTAACTTCTGCCATGAGTAAGGAGAGTGGTGGGGCCGAGAAGGACACATTGTATAGGAGCTGGGCCTCAGAAATCTCAAAGTCTAGTAGAGGAGAAAAAACGTCACCACCCCACAAGGCTGAAGGGCAGTTCAGGCCTCGGCTGGTAAATAAAATGGGGCGGGAGACTGAAGAGCAGTTCCTTCCGGGGCAGGAACAGGAAGCACTCCGTGAAGTCAGGGGCAGCCAGCCTGACAATGCTGGGATGTCTGACCCCAGGGGGCCCCCGGGTACATCATGTGTGCTGACTCAGTCCTTATGACTCTAGGTGCCTTTGACAGATGAGGACATTCAAGGGCAGGAGCAATAGCAATTTGTCTGATGTCACTTGGCCAGTAAGTGGCAGTCTGTGTTCTTGACCAAACAGGTGCCGCTTATGGCTAGTAAAATGCAGGTGTGCAGAGGTACTCGGGAAGGGAATTCCAGGCCGGGGAGCCGGTGTGAGCAGTGCAGGCCTTGGTCTGGGCTTAGTGCCCACGCAAGTCCCACTTCCCTGGAGAGCTCTGCGGGGCCCTTTGGAGAGCTGTGGGCCGGAGGCCAGGGTGGGCTACCGAGGGGCGGTCTCCCAGGCCAGTGGCCTAGCTCCGGGCTGTTACCCCTCGTCCTCACTCTGTTGTCAGGAAGTGTTGTGAGTTTCTGGTGAAAGGCAGCAGCACACAGATTCTGAACAGCTTTTCCCCAGTTCTTTATGGCACCAACTGTGGTAAGATTTAATCTAAAAGGATATTTAAAGCAGTAAAGCAGAGGACTTTTTTTTTCACACTAAAGACTGTAGTACTAAGATGTGGAAAGTACTATAAATGTCAAGAATTTTTAGTACTGTCGTTAAGCGCCACTCTGAGAGGGGTGTTGAGAAATGGGACTGGAGTCTAAAAAGCAGCCAAAATAATGAAGAGCTTGAAAATAATGATTTATAAGGAGCAATGAGACTGTTTGAGTAGGGGGCAGAAAAAGGCATCAGTAATTCCTATTAAAATATATGGAGGATGGAGATGCTCAGGAAATAATGAGGCAGGAAAGTTGAACCATTTTAATTAATAAAACAGATTTGGTGTGAAATACAAATCAGTTGAATATGTTAAGGTTTGGGCTCACATCATCTTATTAGACTGTGTTACAGAAACTGAGATTGAGGCCCCTGGAACCTTCATTAAATGGAGTCTCGCAGCTACTCTCTGCCACTAATGCCCACGGTTGCGGGAAGTTCCGTTGTCTTACCAGCACCCAGCTTCTTCTCCATTATTTCCAATCTTGAAGAGGCCTCTTCCATTCTGTTGACCTCAAAAGGCTGGAGGCCCCAGCTGGAAGGAGGCCCTAGGCTGGAGTGTGAGCGCAGAGGGTGTGGAGGGCGTCAGTGCCCCCCGCCTGCCTGCTGCAGCTGGGCTGTGTGGTCAGGGCATCTCTGGTGAAGGCAGGGTGGTCACCCAGCACCAGGAGGCTGGGGGAGCAGGCGGAGCCTCTGGACATCCCTAAACAACCATCATGTGAGCTGGGGCTTCACATGGTAGGTGCAACGACAGGAGATACTTTTTCATTTGCTCCCTGTGTTCTGGGCGTGGAGGGTTTCGATAGCCCTGTGCAGGATTTGGGATGAGGTTCCCTATACAGGATTTGGGACGAAACTCTCTTATCACAGGCCCCATGGTGGAGGCCGTGTGTGCCGTGGAGCGGAGTAAGGTGTGTGCTCGAGGGCTGTCTTCAGATGTGAGTCAGTTGCAGGAACCGACCCCCACACCAGGCCCCCCCCACTGGCCCCCCTCCTCACACCCACACTGCACTTAAGAGGTGGACACAGAGGGTCCCGGAGGGCCACCGTGACCGTCATCTTTCTGGTTTCAGATCCCAATCAGGATGCTTCCAGGACCGGAAGTGGCCAGAGCCTTTTGGATGGCCCCCCAAGAGTGCCTCAGCCCTTCCTGACACACAGAGCCACGGTGGCCGAGCCGCCACCGAGCCTGCCCCTGCCAGTGAGGAACGCCATGCTGGCCGCCGCCCTCTTCCCGGAGTTCCTGAAGGAGCTGGCCGCCTTGGCCCAGGAACACTCTATTCTGTGCTGCAAGATCCTGGGTGACTTTGAGGACTCCTGTTGCTAGCTTTTTTTTTTTTTTAAATAGAGGTTCTTGTTTTTTAAGGTTTTAGTGTCTTGATTGAATGTTCAATGCAAAGCTGCTTACAAAAATTCCTACTTTGATATTTCCTGACAATACTTGATTGGCGGGGAGGGGAGCTGCTGTATGACCCCCTCTTGAGCCGGGTCTTCCCGCCTGATGCTGCATGGAGTGTGAGTCACATGCGAGTTGCTCCTTGGGCAGGTTTTCTTTGCTCAGTTTTTCTTCCTCAGGCTTTTTGGTGGTGGTTCTCCCATCCCTTTGACTCACTCGTCCTGCAGCTTAGATCACGCTAAGCGAATACCGGGGTCGGTGAGTTCTGGCCGTACCCCAGATCAGGAGGCTGGCTTTTCAACAGCACATGAATGTGCATCTGCCCCCATCACCTTCTCCATTTTATAAAAGAGAAGAATAAAGCCCCTCTTCCCTCCATCACACAAGCACACACCATGTGTCCCTCTGCCTTTTATTTCCAAGACTTGTATTCCACCCATGTCTTGCCTTGCGGTGCAGACAGATCCACTGGTCTCAGCTCTCTGCCTGGGATGTCACGTGTAGCTGGAGAGAATATGGGATGCAGAGACATTTTGTTGCTTGAGAGCTTTTCTTTAATCACTTTATCACTACCTAGGCACTGAAAATAGCCTTAATTTAGTCAGATTTGCACAAAATGAAACATACCTATGCAAACTGCTGCTTTGGTTTTTAGGAGTTTGATCAGATGGAAGTGTGGCCTCATATACCTATGTAAGAAGACAACCATCATTATTTTTTAAAGTGTTTTATGGAAAACAGATTAATTTGTGAAGCTCTGTCACAATGGGTTTTTTTTGAGGATGGGAATGTGGAGTAGGGGAAAGGATAAAGGTAAACTAAATGCAACCTGTAAAATTATTAGTTATTATTTTAAATTCTCTGCGTTTTCTAATATGTTGCACATTGTAGAGAAGTAGGAACTGTACAGCCAGTGTGGGAACTGGGATGTAAATGCAAATGCATCACAGGGAGCCCTGCACTGCCAAGTACCTGCTGGTGACTCACTCCACACAGAAATGCTGCCTTCTGAGTAATGGGGTTCATTAGAAGGCCCCAACGTGATGTATTAGTGCCTCTCTGCTGCTTTCCAGCCTGCTCCAAGAGGCATAATTATACTTAGAGCCAGTTTTTCTTAAACCATTACCAAGAGGGGGAAACACATAAAATAACTGTGAGCTAAAAATGAGACCATGAACAGCTGATATTTATGGATATCTGATTCCACAGCCCTCTTCTTGGGCAGGTGAGGAGTCTGTAACAAGGATGAGCTTCCCCGTTTGGAGGGACATTGGAGCTCACTGTTCTCTTCATGGGCAGGATTGCTGAGCCCTGGGGCAGCCACAGGTCTGGTGGTTGTGCTTTCTTAGGAGAACTGGTTTGGTTTTAATCAGGCCTCCACTACAGGAGAGTGGAGGGAAAGAACCACGTTGCAGACCCTGCTGAGCAGAGGCTGCCCTTGTCTGTTGCGGGGAGCTTGGAGAAGCTTTGTACTGAGACAGACAGCAAGCCAGCCCATGGAATGGAGACCCCAGAAGATCGGGCCTGGGCTGGGCAGCTCGCAGGAGCCAGCCTCGCGGTGTTTCCAGTTCTGAGCAAGAAACCGAAGGTACCCATTTGTTGTACAATTCTGACTTCAAATTCGCCTGACTTGAAAAATGGTTTGCCCAGTGGTGGTAGAACAGCCAGCACGTGTGAGGCCCAGCAGACTGGCCTGCTCTTGGCTTTCTGACACCTACTTCAGTTTGCACAACCCATAAGTCTACTGGAAAAGAAGGTGGCTTAAGGTCAAGTAATGGAGGAACAGAAAGATGGAATTTAAGCTGTCCTTTTTATCTTTGTTTTGCACAAATATTTATCTTAAGGCTTAGCAGATATATATGAAATCTAAAGTCATGTCTTGAAACTATTCTCTAGCACTCTGCTTTGATGTGAACTGCTCTTCATTCTCTGGTGCTGATGTCAGGTCTTCTCGAGTCTGTACTGCTTTCCTGCAGACCACAGAGCCCTTGTGGCAGGTGCCCTTGGGGAGACTGATTTAGTGCCTCTTAGTATTATTTTTTCAATAGGAACTAGAGTAGACTTCAAAGGAGATGACCATTGTCTGGGGTGAGTGGCAGGAAAATTAATCCCCATGGTGGGGTACTGGCAGCAAATGCACATAACCCTCTCTGTTTGCAATTAGCAACTGGTTTGCATTTCTGAATCCACTGCAGCCCTCTTCCAGAGTATTGTGTCCAGAGTTTTTCAAAGTGAAGTCAGAAAACTGACCTGGAAATACATTATGGAGAACCAGAAAGCCCACATGGTCAGGAGAAACAGCCAGGTGTGTTAGGTAAGGCTGGTTGAGGGAATGGTGTGCGCCAACAGAAGTGAAGCAGAAACCCGAGGCTGTACACAGAAGGCCAATCCTGAGGGCTTTGGAAGACTGAGGATCGTTGAGGCAGATATGAAGGTACTGTAAGAAGGTGGCTGACACTGGGAGCTGCTTGGTGGGCAATGATCATGGTAATGAAGTAGAATATTCTGGTCATAAAGTAACAGTGAGGTCCTTAGAAATATCTCTGTGGTAATGAGTTTTGGGAGAGAAATTTTAAAGGTAATTGGCGACTGTAAAATGTGGTCCAAAAGCGTGGATACTTTTCCACGTGACAGGCTCTCACACTTGCCGTGCTGCTTGGCCAAAGGCAGAGGGGACACAAACCTGTTGATGCCACCCTCGAAGTTGGCATCCCTGTGTCTAGCCTTAAGATCCTGGGCAGTGAAGGTGAGTCAGGGCTTCCTGGGAGACATCACAGCATTAACCGCAATTCATAATTCAGGGTCTGAGGTAAAGTTCTAGATGGAGTGAATTTTGTGGTTTAAAGTACGTGAGAGCACTGGGATATTTAAAATTGATTTTCAGAAATGGTCAAGTAAATGTTTTTAAAAATTTAAGAAGAGATTCCAGGTTAACTTTAGCCTAAAATATAGTTTCATGAGGTAAACTGCAATTTCCCAGCCACAAAATAGAGATGCTGGAGTAACCAATTAGAGATGTGGCTTTATCAACAGATACTTCCTTTTCCCGGGATTTAGAGCAATTATGAAATTGCGCCCATGTTCCTTAGTATTACTTTGGAAAGCACTCAGCTGTGCCAGGGCTGGGAATGCTGCCTCTGTCACGGGAGGCAGGACACGTTCGGTTCTCTTATGGGTCCTCAGCAGGACCTCTCCCTCACCAGGTGGCTTTTATTTACCTCACATACAGTTGGCTTTCAATCAAGGCATCAGGGGGCAAGAGCATCTTCTTAGGAATAGAATCTAGAAGCAGGATGCAAGAATATTGGACGGCCTGTCTAGTTTGGGCAGCCAGGGGTGGTCAGAGTTGAACGTAGTTTTGGCGTCTCTGAATCAGCCTGGTGCAGCGGTCCCATGGACTGGTTTCCAGATCTGTGTGGAGCTTGGGGGTTATGGGTGGGCTGCCCATCCTGCATCTGGATCAGTTGCTTTCATGAGGGAAGTGCTGCCCCAACAGGGGTGGGATGTGTCACTGGTGTGATGTTAAGTATGTGCAGCAGATGCTCACTCCAATTCTCATTTAAGGGCAGTTCATTGTAATTGTTAACTGCTAGCCCTGTATTTACTGAAATGGCTGTCACACTTGTAGTTTTTATGAAATACTTTATTGCAGGACAGCGATTACTGCACGTGCTACTTCAAGTCCCTGGCCCAGGCCAGTGTGATTTGTGGTCCGCTGGGCCTCTTGGCCAGCTCTGCAGAGTGGGCTTTTCCTGGAGGCAGCCAGCCCTCTAGCAGCTGAGGCCACATCAGCATTAAGTCATTAAGAAGATACTCGCAGGCCCCTTCTCGCTTCAGGGATCAGTCTGTAAATCACACAACTGATTTTCCATCAAATAACAGCTTAAAACAGAACACTGTCAAGTTTACACTCTTCTTAAATCCCTTCATTGAGAAAACATTTTAAGACAATGGAGATAACTTTTTTTTCCTTTTTGAATGACCATCATAAACTTAATGCATTAGAAAAAACTCCCAGAAGATGTAAGAATTGTTTTAGGGATAATTTTGCCTCAGTAAATCCTATGTTCAGGCATTTATTAGGCCATGACTTGTTTTGGAGGACAGATTATCCTGGCAGCTCATTAACTGGATAACCAGGGCTTTAGTGAAAGATTTCTGGTGGGAGGGACAGGGATGAGGTGGTGGGGGTGCCTTCAGTCCTTTGGCCTCTGTGCTTAGAATCCAAAATCGATGATGATTTTGGGACTGACCCTTCCATCCTGTCATGTCATTGTGAGTTTTGTTCCTGTCTTAACAGCATGTGAGTAAACTCACTCGCTGTCACCCACACAAGTAACAAGACACCAGTGGACCCTGCTGGCATGAGCTCTGTGTACTTCAGGCCTCTTTGGGGAAGCTTAGGTCACTGTGTCATTTCACAACCTGACAAGAGGGATGGAAGCTCTTTCCATGGAGATTATAACTTTCATGGAGCTGAGACTGCACAAGTCTGTGCTCTTAGTATATCAGCTGACTTTTTATTGGGACAAGTCTGCAAAAGGACCACCTATAACAAGGCTCCTTTTTTTTGCCCTGGAAGAGGGAATTTCCATCAGATGCCTTCCATCCCACACCCTAGGGTCAGCTCCAGTCGCAGATAATCCACGGAACATTTGTCTAAAATATGCTGAAGAAGCATGGCAGCCACTTCCATACGCTTTTGGTAATGGGTATAAAAACATGGCCTTTCAGGTAGACCTGGTGTTTCATTTTGACTTGTTTTCAGATAGTCATTATGTGGAATCCTTGAAATGATGCAGCTAGTTCAAGAGAAATGAAAAATACAAATTGTGTGGGTCACGGCCATAAGCTATGTATTGAATTACCCAACCAATTCAAAAATTTAATAGCCGCTTTCCAGATTAGCAGTAATTACAAGAAAGAGGTGGGAGCTCAGCTAAAACACCCTTAACCTGCTGTCAATAATGATCAGGGTTTGTTTTCCTGGGCCATCCAGAGCTTGAAAGATAGGAATACAGATTCACCTTGGTGCATAAAACTGGACAGAGCCAAGAAGCTCCCTCCTAGACCCAGATACCCAGAATTTAAAGCTTAGTAGTTGGCAGCACCAACACCTCTTACAAAGGGGCTCACAGAAGGCTGCCCATTACTTTTGTTTTATAAATGTAATGAACTTTTACTAAATAACTTACTCTGTGCAGAGTGCTGAGGCTGACATACCCACCCTTCACCAGAATGAACCAGCCAGCCAACTTCCTGAAGCCACTAAGCACATGGTTTGGGTCTGACCGGGTAGAGCTCATTCAGGCCAGCCTGGGGAAGGGCCAGTTTTCCCGCACATTCCATTCCCAGCCTACAGGTGTGTGTGGGACAACAGATGGCAATGGCTTCACCTATAGCACCAACTCATACATTTTAATGAGATTTCCCCCTGAATAGCAAACAAAGACCAGGTCATATTCACATGCATGCAAAAATATAAAACTGTACTTGAAGCCCACTGACGAGCAAAGCCATACTTTGTGAATTTGTTAGGCTCTTATATATATATATGTAAACATACCTTTTGAATATCTAGTCAGGTCCCAAGTAAGATAGCTGTGCTTTTTATTAGCTTTTATAACAGTGATAACAGTCTGATCTTCAATGTTTCAGAAGTGGGCATTCAAGACATGGGCAATTCTCAGAGCTGGGTGACGGTTGGCATTGTAAAGACCCAGTGTTTTAACAAGGGTATTTTCCTCTGGAAACCATCAGCCTGTAATAGTTTGCACTTGACAAGTCTTGGTGAACTGTCATCAGGCTTCCCCGACCTCCCATCACCATGTAAGTAAGCTCTTGATTGAAAAGGTCTGGAAAGATCCTCCAGTGCTTTCTATAAAGTTTGATGACCAAGAAGTCAGACTTTTGGTGAAAATGGAGTTTGTAAGACAAAACTGAACCATATTATTTCTTAGAAAATAATGATCCTGCCAGATCTAATCTCAAACTGCCTTTGTCCATTTGTAATTCAGAGACCTTTGGAGCAAGGAGAGAGAACGGACTCTTTTTCTGTTGAAGGAGAAAAGATTTTACTCTTGGGCCCAGTAGTTTTCAGTCCGGCAACAGAATGCATTGGGGGCACATGGCTATCTGGGTGACGTAACATATTCACTTAAACTCTAAGTCACTCTTTTAAAAAGTACTTTTTAGAAACATCCTCTCTTCATGCTTGTCTGAAATAAACCACCCAAGTGGTTTCCTTTCTGCTTGTTTTGGCTGAGTCAGAGGCACATCTCTGTCGCTGCTCATAGGGACCTCGGGAGGGAGGCACTGTGACCCAGGACCCACTCACTGCTGTACTGGTGGGGGCCAGTCTGGTGTTCTGGGGCTCCATTCATGGTGGAAGTGCTTGTACACGTCTAAGTAGGCTCATGAACTTGGTATAATCAGGGCCTCCAAGGATTTTGTTCTTTTACTTATGTCACAGTTGGACATGTACTTTTAAAAATCAGCATTTGCAAAACGGGTCTTTGAGCATACTGAGTCAGAGGTAACAGGAGCATACAGTGAACAAAGGGGCGCTTCCGGGTGAAGGAACTAGTGTTACTGTCAGGAGAATGGTGTGAAGGCAGCCCAGCCTGTGTGCCACTACTGTTAACTACACCACAGTTACTGTTAAAGGTCAAGTTGATGTACTAATTTATAATCATTCTTTCCAGGCAAAACAAATCAACTTAATATTATAGTTTTTTAAAAACCTTTTTATGATCTGAGGATTGGGGGTGGGGGAAGTTGTCAACTGCACAATCTTTGAAGTGTAAGTTAATTTTGTATGTGATATTTCAGTATATATTTTATTCATTAAATTTATTTGAAAATGTCTGTCATCTTTTTTACCAGGTAAAAAAAAACTGTTCTCAGGCCGTGCCTTCTGGGATCCCCAGAACTGAACAGGCAGCATCACTTTTTACTCAGGGGGTGAGTGAATCTAATACAGAAGACTGATGTCCTTCCCCACTCATGGGGCCTGAACAAGTGCTGTTTGGGCCGCGTCATCTATTTTGCTGCGTTTTCATCTCAATCTATTTTTAGGCTTAACTGCGGCTTCCACATCACTCTCTTGATTGCTGCAAATCCCAGCACTTAGAACAATGCCTGCCTGGCCCATAGGCCATGCCCAGAAATATTTGTTAAAGGACTTCTTTTAGAATGGTAATAGTATTTAGAAGTGGGTCATTTAGTTTGGGATTATGGGGACCATTTTGACACCAAGGCAGCAAATGGCACAGGGCGTCGGGGCCCCAGGCTGCGGGTCTGTCCCCGCGTGTTGGTCTCCCTGAGGCCGGGCGGGAAGCGTCTCATGGTGACAGCTGCTTCTCCAGTATCTCCTTTACCTCGGTTGGGTCAGCTCGGCTGAGAGTCGCTTTTCGGACCAACCCAATCAGCTTATTTATAGCTTTGGGGTTTCCCTTCTTCACATCCATTACCTTTAAAGTTGGAAATTGTTTTAGAGGAGAAAATACTCATACCTAAAAATCCTAAATTAAGGTTTACATTTACTGAAACAAATTCAGTTTGCCTTTATAGTATTAGAGAGAAAAGGAAAAGGGAGAGTGAACCTCTGAGGAGGTGTCCAGGGCCTCGTCAAGCTGTTTGCCACTCGGCTTTGTGACTGACACGCACACAAAGTCCCTTGTGGCGACTGCCTGCAGCGAGAGGCCAGCGCGCAGGGCCGAGGGCGCCCTCCTCCGGGCACCAGGGACCCCAGGACGGGGAGCTGCCCTGAGCCTTGTGAGGGCCTGACCTCTCCAAGACGAGTCATCTCCAGGAGTGGGGCACCCGCGAACCCTCTGGTGGGGTGCCGCAGGCACCGACGTACATGGCCTCGCCCTCCACCCACTCCCTGCTAGACGGTCCGTCTATTAGAAAATAGATCCACAGAATGGCAGCTCTCCCAGAGCATCCAGGCAGGGGGATGCACTGTGTGGGCAGGAGACGCTCGGCTCCTATCAAACAGGCACTGTCAGGGACCCCTGTCCCGACCTCCTGCTCTGCAGCATCTTGAGTGGTAACAGCATCAGTGGGTATCTGCACTCAGTGCCTCAGAGTGAGCCAGAAAGCATGTCTTGATCAGGCACCCCCTGTGCGGCGGAGGGCGGGGACCGCGAGCCCAGCGCAAGCTCGTTTTCCTATCAAGAGCTCTTTGCAGAGCTGCTAGTGTCCCTGGCAAGCTGATGGGTGGTTGGGGATGATTCTGAAAAGAGATGCCAGCAATTTTTTCCCCCACTGAAATGCATCTCTAGACAGTATGATTAGACTTGGGGTGCAGGGGGGATGCTATTCACTGGAGCCTTTCTGTTTTATTCTATGCTCACAACACAAAGTGACTAGGTTTTTTCAGCTCTATGCTCCTGTCAAGGATTTTTTCTGTAATTTACAAGTCATTTTCCTTTCTGCCTTTCTCCCCATCTCCTAAAGACACGACCCTAAAGTGTTTCTCTTTTTCCCCTGCCCTGCAGTCATGCCTGCTGGTGTACTACTGAGAGAGGTCTCCTGATAAAGCAGGGCTAGTCACAACAGTTTCAAAATGCCAACCCAGTGAGGGCATGCCTGGGAGGCCAACACTTGGATCTAGTAAGCTTGCTCATACCCCTTTCAACTGAAACTCCACAAAATTAAACTGCAGGGGCAGATTTTCCTTACAGAAAATGTATTTTGCCAGTATTCACCTAATTTCATCTCTTGACTTCAGCTAGAAACTGACAAAAGCAGGGATTACTGATGAGATGGGGCCAGCCATTTTTAGGTCCCGCTGCTCAGCTGCAACAGGGAGTAGGCAGGTGAGCGGCTCTCGGCAGTGTCCTGGGCTGGCCCTACAGGCTGCCCTGCCCTCGGCTGGCTAGGAGGGTGGAACCTCGCTCTGGCTGCACAGGGAGCCCCCGTCCCCCGGGGGTGATAATTACCACTTGAGGATGTCCTTCCATTGTGGCCTGGCAGAGCCGTTCCAGGGCCTCTCGATCCTGCATCAGTTCAAGCTTCCGTTCTGAAACAATCTGTGCTGGGGTCTTCCCTTGACTCCTCCACAGTTCCTGCAACACCTGCAGGTCCGAGGCGGGGGAGAAGGGACAGAGAAGCGAGGTGTCAGCCATTTCAGCAGCTGCACCTGCCAGTGCTGGGCTGCACTGAGCGGGCCGAGGGCAGTGGGCTCAGGCAGTTCCAAGGGTGTGGGTCTAGGGGGCCCCCTCGAGGCATCTGGGAATGCAGCTGCTCTAGAGAGCATGCAGACGTACGTGGAGACCCCCGGGTTGCACAGCTCCCTCGGAACAGAGTGTGAGACCGGGCCCGCGGAGACAGCTGTCCTCCCTACTTATGGACTCACACTGCAGGCCAATTGGGTTGGGGAAAGGGGGAGACGTGACTCCTCACAGCCCCTTGCTGACGGTAGCTGCAGGGCCAGGCCAGGGACGGCTCTGTCTCACATCCACTTAATTAATTTTGAGGTGACATTTTGTTGAAGGATGGGGCCACACAGGCTGTAGGAGGAAACCAGTGGATGTGGATGAAGGCCAGAAAACTCAGCCTGCTTGGGAATAATGATTTTGGGGTGGGGGAGAGAGAAAGTGGCCTGTAATAAAGCTACAAAATGAAAAATAAAACATAAATCATCATCTTCAGGGGCCCCTGGCCAACCACATTTATCCCCTACAGGCTGAGCTAGACCGAATTCTGGCTAGAGTGATTAACAGTTAATGGTGTGTGTATTTTCCTACTTAGAAAATAACAAATCTCCATACTTATCAAAGTTGGAGGAAAATACATTTTTAACAAAGGCATTTTCTAGGGTACTTTTCCACAATCCTCTTGATTTCCAGTGGAAGCTGGATGCGGGGGTTCCTCTGTTGGCCTCCCACAGTCCCCCCTTCACCTCGGGCTGGGTCAGTGTCGAGCACTGAGTGCCCCCTACGACCCCGGTGGCTGAGAAGGGACCAGCCAGCTGCAGTCACTCCTCCCCGAAAACCAGCTCATTGATAATTAGTACACACAGCAAAATAAATTAAAGAGAAGGTGCTCAAATAGGGAGCCAAGATGGCAGAGTGAGTAGAGCAGCGGAAATCTCCCAAAACCACATATATTTTTGAAAATACAACAAAGAAAACTCTTCCTAAAAGAGAGACCAGAAGACACAGGACAACAGCCAGACCACATCCACACCTGTGAGAACCCAGCGCCCCATGAAGGGGGTAAGATACAAACCACGGCCCAGC